AGAGTACCCTGTAGGTAGCGCACTATGCGCTTAAGAGCGTGCATGTGCTCATCCCTCGGGTCATGCATGAATAAGCATACCTGTTGCACAACATAAGTAATATCGGGTCTCGTGAATGTAAGGTATTGAAGTGCCCCTGCAAGACTGCTATAAATAGATGGATCCTCAACAGGTTTGCTTGTAGTAGGACCAAGCTTCGGTTTTGTATCAACTGGAGTAGGAGATGGCTTACACGATGACATGCCAGCTCTGTCAATGATCTCAGCCGCATATTTCTTTTGAGATAAAAATAAACCGCCGGTATGACGAGCGACGACAATGCCCCAAAAAATAGCTCAAATGGCCCAAGTCCTTCATAGCAAATTCTGAGCTAAGAAGTGATATGATGGACTGGCGGAGCTCATCAGAGGAAGCAGTCAAAATAATATCGTCGACATACAATAAAAGATAAGCCATAGAAGTACCTCGACGATAAACGAACAAAGAATGATCTGAAGTACTGTGAGAAAACCCAAGAGTATGGACATAGTCAGCAAATCTCTTATACCAAGTTCGCGGAGCCTGTTTAAGCCCATAAAGAGATTTCTTCAGCAAACACACATGATTAGGTCTATCAGGATCCCGATACCCCAAAGGTTGATACATGTAAACAGTCTCCTTGAGTTCGCCATGTAAGAAAGCATTTTTGACGTCAAGTTGATGAATCGGCCAAGCCTTTGAAAGAGCCAAACTGAGAACCGTGCGAATAGTGGCCGGTCTGACTACTGGACTAAACGTCTCACCACAATCCACGCCAACCTGTTGAGTTTTACCATCACCTACAAGACGAGCTTTATGCCTCTCAAACGAACCATCAGATTTTTCTTTATGAGCAAAAATCCACATAGACCGAATGACATTAACATTTGGAGGTCGGGGCACCAACTCCCACGTCTTATTTTGAATAAAAGCATTATATTCATCATCCATAGCCATTTTCCAATTCGGGTCACGAAGAGCAGACACAGGGTTACGGGGTAGAGGGGATTTAGATACGGATGTAAGAAGGTTGAAAGACTTCTTAGGTTTGTAGATCCCATGCTGACTCCTAGTAACAGGACCTGTGGGTAGACTAGAGTGAGATATCGGGGTTGGACGAGGAGGAGAGCTAGGTGGGAGTGTGGAAGGAGAAGTTGGGCTCGGCCCAGCAGGCGGGGGAGGTCCATTCCGCCCAGTGGACGAGGCAAATCCACTGGCTGGGCCTGGCGATATGGGCGCCGGTGAGGTAGGAACTGGTGCAACCGGTAGGTTCGTGGGAGTAGTGAAATGATGGACCATGTAGGGAGATGGTCCATCGTCCAGAAACTGATACGTGTGAGTTTGAGGAGTATGTAACTTGGCAAAGGGAAATTGCGTCTCATCAAATATTACGTGACGGCTAATGATGATTTTTCTAGATGACAAATCAAAGCATTTATACCCACGATGATGTGACGGCTACCCCAAAAAAACACAAGGAGTTGACCGGGGTTGAAGTTTGTTTATGAGTGTAGAGGGGATAAGAGGATAACATAAACACCCAAACACCCGAAGATGGGAATAAGACGGATCTTTCTGATAAAGAATGCGAAGAAGGGATTGATAATTTAATAGCTTATGAGGAAGGATGTTGAGAAGGTAAGTTGCCATTTGCAAAGCATGATGCCAAAAATAAGGAGGAAGGGAAGCATGGGCCAATAAGGTACGGACAATGTTATTAATCGTACGGATTTGTCTTTCGGCTTTCCCATTTTGAGGGGATGTATAAGGACATGATAAACGAAACGACAGACCATTGTCTTTGCAGAAGTCCCAAAAGGGGCCATTATCAAATTCCGTGCCATTATCACATTGTATATTCTTTATGTCCCGCTCAAATTGAGTTCGAATAAAGGTCTTGAACGTCAAAAATGTGGAAAAAGTTTGTGATTTTTGCGATAAAGGAAACGTCCACAAAAATTTAGAATAATCATCCACAAACAAGACATAATATCTATGACCCGATGAACTCAAAACAGGTGACGTCCAAAGATCACTATGTATAATATAAAATGGCATCAGAGTGCTAGAATTAGAAGCATAAAATGGCAACTTAACATGTTTTCCAAGAGGACAAGAATGACAAATACGAAAGTCTCTAATTTGATTACAAGCAATCAATTTATTCTTCCTAAGGGAGTTCAAAACAGGTGCTCCGGGGTGACCCAATCGATCATGCCAAAGGGATGGTGCCAAAGCAGCAAAAGTAGATTGTGAAGGGACTGGATTTGTGATGGGATAAAGCTCTCCCCGACTGTCACACCTCATTACCAGCCTCCCCGTCGGAAAATCCTTCACAGAAAACCCAAAGGGATCAAAATCAACAGAGACAAAGTTATCAGTTGTAAATTTTCGGACGAACACCAAATTTTTAACAAGGTGAGAGGCATGAAGGACATTGTTTAATTTTAAGGAAGGACACGGGGAAGACAATTCCGTGTGACCGTAGCCCTGAATTGGAATTGATTGACCATTACCAACAACTATACCACGTTTATTGCTCTTATTAAAATAAGACGTGAGGTTACCTTTTGTGGATGTCATGTGAGAAGTGGCACCTGTGTCCATGTACCAATTTGCATCCGGAGGAGTGATACCAAGAGTATGCATTGCTGCTTCAATGTCCGTTGGAGTTGGGGACGCTGTGTAGGCCTGCTGGGGTCGGGGTCCAAGTATACCCGAGTGTGATTGCTGCTGCTGTCCATAGGTGGGTTTGGTCCATGAATTAGAAGGGTATGGACACAGTGGTATAGCCCAAGGAGCCCACGGTGCCATCCAAGGCCACTGCTGCCCGCCAGACCATGGAGTATAGGGCGGAGGGTGCTGTCCTGCTGGCTGCTGCCCATCACCGCGGCTGTTGCCGCCGCCAATCTGACCACCACGGTCTGCATTACCCCCTTTGCCGCCTCCACGACCACCATTGTTGCTGCGATTTTTTCCTCCATTAGTGCTGCGGTTGTGGTTCCTCCTCCCACCATTAGTATTGCGGTAGGAAGAGGAATGATCAGAAACATCATGAGAGCCATCCGAATAGCGAGCAACCATGGCAGATGAGGCGCTATGGGCCGCCTTCTTAGCAAGGCCAGCCTCTTCAAGAGTGAGCATCGAACGGGCTTGATAAAGTTGGGGCAAAGGTTCACGTTGGCGAATAAGAGTGGCCACACCTTTGTAGGGCTCGGTAAGGCCAGAGACCAGTTGAAGAACGAGTCTATTGTTGTCGACGGGAGAGCCGACATTCTTGAGTTGATCCGCCAGAGATTTGAGATGTTGACAACAGGCAGAGACATTCGGAAAATCTGCCATGTCTACATGAGTGAAGTCATACTCAAGGGTGACAGCACGAGAGTGTTTGTTATCCTGGAATATGTCACGTAATCTATTCCAAGCCTCCATTGCCGTGGTGTCGGGTTCAAGAATTGTATGTAAAAGATCATGAGATATAGTAGCGTAAAGCCACTGTAGAACGGTAGCGTCAAGAGTTGACCAAAGTTCTTTCTCCTCCTCTTTTTGAGGCAGTTTCTCCTTGCCTGTCTCTGAAGGAATAATATGATCTATTACTCTATGGGATCGTGCGTGAATCTTAAAGAGTTCCGCCCATGTGGAATATTGTACGTTCTCCATCTCAAGGGTGATGGGAACATGGTTCTTGATGTTGGATACAGCAAGAGCAGGATGAAAAGAAGATTTTGAGTCAGACATGGTGATTGAGAAGAGAGGAAGAAGAAGAAGAAGAAGAGAAGGGCGGAGGCTGCGGAAGACCGAGAAAGGTGAAGGAGGATCTTTCCCTAGACTTCTGATACCATGAAAGAGATTAATTCCCCCTCTCATTTCCTTAGAATAATCCGTTTATATACACCAAATACAAGAGTATAATTAGGCTATAATTAAGGAAACTAACTAGCTATATATTAGGAACTAAATATACACCTAGCAAAGATGATATATACAATCTGTCAGAATATATTTATCATATATTCTAACAAAACCGAATCGGAAAATCGCACCAAATCGAAAAGTCAAATCAAACCGATTAAAAAATCTGATTAGGTTTGATTTGGTTTGGTTTGAGTAAAAAAAATCCGAACCAAACCGACATATAAATATAAAAATTTGATATATACTTTTAATACTTTTCATAGAATTTTTTTAAAAAATGTCTAGAAATATTTGCGATTCTCTTATGGGATGTAATATTTAGTCAAATATGAAGTGTTTTATTTTTATTAATTTTAAATAATGGGTTGTATGATCACTTTCTTATCAAGTGTTAGTGAAATGCGTCAATCTCTTTGTTCTTTCATATTCAAATGTCAAGATTTATTAAATTCTTATATCTTTTTCGAATTTGAAGTGGTATATCGATAATTTAAAATTAAATAGAATATATTATTATATAGGTATCATATTGATTTTTATGTTTATTATTAAATTCAGTTAACCTTGAAAGTGTACATTAATAAAAAGTTATTGCCAGACAACTAAAAAAATAACTATTATATGTTACTAAGAAAATTCTCTCATAGAGTACTTAATATTTCATATGGTGTAAATTATTTAAATTTTTACTAAATATTTACTCATAAAAAATTTAACAAAGTGAAATTGAAAGAATATTTATGTAGACACAAGACATACCAAAGAAGCTGAAGATAATTACAAAAAGAGATAAGAAAAAAAAGAAGAAACTGAAGATAAGCATCAACGTGGCAACAACAATCACCTGTAGAACACGAAATTACTGGAAAAATATCCTAAAATCTTAATCAAGTTTCAAGAAGCTGCTGTATTACTGGAAAAGGACAACAGCCATATCTGCATAATACTATTGCTCATCCCTACGTGGCAAATGACAAGACAAGGAACACAGCTCTGAGACCACCACGTGGCAATGAAATATAATATACTTCTTTTTGCATATAAATAAGATAGATGGCTCGAGAAGAATACATACACAAATACTATATTTGAGTAAATGATAAAAATGGAAGAAGGTGGAAGAAGTAGTACTGTTAGAGAGGAGAAAAAGAAGAAAGTGATGGTAGCAATAGACGAAAGTGAGTGCAGTTTCTATGCATTAGAATGGGTACTTAACTATCTTTACAATTCTTTGTTGAATTCAGAGATTGTGTTATTCACTGGCCAGCCTATTGCTGATTATAGCTATATCTATGCTTCTTCGTTTGGTGTTACCTGTAAGTTTATTAATTAAATTTTCTTTTTTTTTTTTCTTTATTAAGATGATTAATTTTATGTTCTTTTCCTCTTTGTTGTTTGATTTTGATTTTGCATATGGTTATTTGCAGCGCCAGAGCTAATAACAAGTATACAAGAAAATCAAAGGAAAGTAACCAATGCTCTGCTGAAGAAAGCTAAGGATGTTTGTGGTCAACATGGGGTATTTTAATCAAGTCTTGTAGTTTTTACTTGCATTGTTCAGACTATAGTAAAAGTAGAATATTTAACTTATACACACTAATGGTGTAACTTTGATCAACTTATTGCAGCAGGTTTACTAATCCCAACTTTTTCTGGATAGTTATGCACCGTCAAACCTCTCTATATCTTTTTGGGTTGTTTCGGATATTTTTTGGCTGTTATATCGTGGTGTTGTTAAAGAGAATATATATATATATATATATATATATATATATATATATATATATAACATGAAAAATTGGCTCCAAAAAAGTGAATGGCTGTTATAGTAGTGTTGTTATAGAGGATGTTCGTTGTAGAGAAGTTTGAAGGGGAGTCTTGGAGCAACCGTAAAGTTGTCTCCATGTGACTGATAGATAACAGGTTTGAGTGGTGGAAGCAGTCATTAATGTCTGCATTAGGATAAGCTATCTACATGATACCCTTGGGTGCTGGCTCTTCCTCGAATCCTGTGTGAATACAGGATGCTTTATCTATCGGATTGCAGACAGACAAGCTCAGGGAAAACATCCTATACTTGGGATACAAGAGTTTGTAATACTCGAAATAAGTTTTATTTCTCCTGGCCAATTCACCACTTCTCACTCACTTCTTTTTTTTCGGTATCGGTATGTTGCTCGCGGAGGTGAGCAAAGAGAAAGTAGGGGGAATTCTTCTCTTTTTTGGTATTTCGGTATCGGTATGCTCCTCCGCGAGCAAGGAGTGCCACACACGAGCGGAGCAAAGAGAAAGCAGAGGGAATACTTTTCTTTCTTTGGAGAGAAATCCTTTGATTGCGAATTGAATCTTTATGTATCGGACTGCCTGCCGATATTTTTATGTATCGGACTGGGACTCTTGTACAAAAATTTTACTGTAGTTATTATCTTAAGTAGCCTTGAAGTTAAACTTCAGAATGAGAACTGGTATACTACAACATGACCACTATAGGAAGAAATAGGGAGAAAAGGGGAAAAGACTAGAGTGGTCTGAGGCGGAGCTAGGATTTGGAGTTTGTGGGTTCTTAACTTGACCTCGAACCCAGAGTATATTTTAGTGATTGGGTTCACAATTATATATTAGTACAAATTTAATAGATTTTCTAATGCGAATACAAGCTTTACCCAAAAGCTATCGGGTTCGATCGAACCCGTAAAAAATACCCTACCTCCGTCCCTGAAAGTGGTTTTTGTTATTCAAGTATATATACAAGCTTAAGTAATGCAAAATTGATATGTGCAGATAGTTGCTGAGACAATGACACAAGTGGGAGATCCAAGGGAAACTATATGTGAAGCAGCTGAGAAGCTTCATTTAGATTTGCTTGTGTTAGGTAGCCATAACAAGGGTGCTATACAAAGGTCAGTTTTGAATTTGCTGCATTTCAGACTCTGGACATGTTAAAAATGTATAAGATTTGGCTTTATTAAGCTTGACAAAATACTAATTTTATTTTGTAAATTGAGAAATAATGTTGTTTTTCTTTTTATACACAGGGCATTTCTAGGAAGTGTTAGCAACTACTGTGTTCGCAATGCCAAGTGTCCGGTTCTTGTTGTGAGGAAAACACCATGAAAGAAAGGAGAAAGGGGCGGAGCTAGAAAGAAACTTACCATTAGATTTGTCTGAAATCTCGTATCTGTGCTATGAAATTCACGAAATATGTACAAATTTTAAATTTAGAGTGCAACTTTTAGATCTTTAAGTCGTTATTCTAGAAGTTAGAATCCATAAAGTTTAAATTCGCCACCTTAAGAAGGTTGTGCAATGTCTTTATATGTTTGCTCTTCAGCTCTTGTGAAGGACCATCTGTTTTTATATGATCTGTATTAAATAAACCATCATATATGGTATGAAAAAGGATTGTTCTCAATTAGCAAATAAATCAAATCTGTTATAAATGAGATGAATGCATGTGAGTGAGATGAATGCATTTGTCTGTCCGTTTAACGTACTTTGTATTGCACACAACTAAGAAGTGCATTAACTTATAACTTTTGAATGTATTTTTATCTTTATAAATAGGGAACTTTTGACCCTAAGGATACACAAGAAACACACTTGAATAAGATAACTTCTACGTTCTTCTCCTCCTATATATCTTGTCTCAATTACTATATTGTTCTATTTTGCTCTCATTTCTTAATATGTTATCAGCACGAGTTTCTTACCAATTGAGATTATGTGCTTCAGCCAGGTTCTATCTTCTTCCTAAATTATTAATTAACCTTCTCTCCAGTGCAGGTACACTTTCATTTGCTTATACCGTTTTATGGTACAATTGGATTATAATAAATTACTACATACATGACTATCTCTGAGAATTATAATAATATTAACTTTGCTATGAAATTGAAAAACTGCGTGCAAATTGCTCCTGAACATCTATCATATAGATATGATAGATAATTACATAGAATATGGTGTCATCTCATGTTCTGCTTCGTGTTTGAATTAGGGGTAACTTTTAGTTTAGAATTATTTAATCTTTCAAATTAGTAACTTTGATGTGCACACTTATATCTGCTAAAAAAATGATTACATCTTACTTTGATCAATCACTAGGGTAATACTTATATGCTAACGTAAAAATGTAGTACCTCTTTGATAGTAACTTAAATGTTTAGCTAAACTAACTGATGTATGTGTGGAACGGTTAGAATATCTCTTTATATTTTAGTCATTCATAGTTGTTTACATGCTTCTATGACTTGTAAAAAAACTATCATGTAAGTTAATTCGATTATTTATGATAGTTTTCACTATGTGAAATTGATCAAAATTAGATTTATGGCTACACAAAATTGTGTTACATTCCTTAAAATGAATGAAATAACTTGCGGTATATATTATATGAGGGTACGACGGTGGGTTCAAGTGTCAGCACTTCATGAAAGTAAGAGATCAGGTTTAAGTCTTGGTGCACCATGATGATAAGACATTGGGTTTGAATCCCAATTTACGATGTTAATGGCATAATGATGGCTAAGGCAAAAATAAATGTCCTATTAACGAAAAATCATGAAGCCCGTCCCACTGGATTAGCTTCATTCCCTAAGCGAATGTGAGAACAATAGATCAAAAGTTTGAAAGAAGACAAAATAATTATTGTGGCCGTATGAATATAAGTGGGCGTGGCAAGGAATGAAATAATAATCGCCATGGTGATGGTCGTTATAAACAAGAAAACAATAAGGGTTCTCAGAATAATTTTTTAAAAGGCAAAGGTAATATTTGCTATCGATGTGGTATGAAAAATCATTGGGTACGAATTAATCATGCGCCTGGAGATCTATTGAGAAATGTTGAGGCGAGCCGTATGAATAATCATAATAAAGTTGAAGCAAATTTTTTCTATAAAGATGATATTTTTGAAAGCCTTGCAGAAGACGTCTTTGAGCATCATAATTGAAGACTTATTATTGGGAAAAAGTATAAGAATGATTGTTCTTTTTATTTTATGAAGTTCATATTTTGAATAATTTCTTTTTATGTTGTTAGTATTTACTCCCTAAATATAGTTTATTTTGTAAGTATTTCTTCTTTATGAAGAATATGAAAACTTCCTAGTCTTCAGTTGGCCGTATGAATAATAAAGAAGAAATATGCCTTCTTGATAGTGCTACGACGCACACCATATTAACAGATAAGAAATATTTCTCTTATTTAATTATGAAAGAAGCCAATATCATAACAATATCTGATAGTACAAAATTAATTGAGAGTTGTGGAAGAGTGACTGTATTACTATCACGAGGAACTATATTGGTTGTTAGTGATGCATTATATTGTAGTAGGTTTCAAAGAAACTTGTTGAGTTTCAAAGATATTCGTCAAAATGGCTATCATATTGAAACCACCAATGAAGGAAAGGTCGAATACCTTTATATTACTACAACAAAAGCGAAAAAGAATGTTTTTGAAAAGTTTCCCGCATTTTTCTCCTGATTCTCATTAGTATTACTGTGTCGAATCACATACCTTAGTAAACAAAGGGTTTACTAATGATTTCATTATTTGACATGACCGGTTGGGCCATCCAAGTTATAATATGATGCGCACAATAATTGAGAATTCACATGGTCACTCATTGAAGAACCAGAAAATTATTCAAACTAAAGAATTCTCCTGTGCTGCATGTTCTCAAGGCAAACTGAATCTCATGCATTGTTGGAACGTATACATGGTGACATATGTGCGCTCATACATTCTCCATATGGACCATTCAGATATTATATTATATGATTTTGATAGACGCGTCTACAAGATGGTCACATGTGTGCTTGTTATCAACCCGCAATTTGGCCTTTGCGAGGTTACTGGCTCAATTAATAAGATTAAGAGCACAGTTTTTAAATTATGCAATTAAGACACTTCATCTTGATAATGCTAGTGAATTTACATCCCAGACTTTTAATGATTATTGTATATCAACTGGGATAACAATTGAGCATTGGTTGCTCATGTTCATACTCAAAATGGACTAGCGGAATCATTGATCAAACGCCTCCAATTAATTGTAGACCAATGCTTATGAGAACAAACTTTCCATTTTGGCATGGGGTCATGCTATTTTGCATGTAGTAGCTCTTGTGCGGATCAGGCCAACAAGTTATCATAAAGTCTCCCCATTACAATTAGCTTTTGGCTAGGAGCCAAATATTTTCCATCTTAGAATATTTGGATGTGCGGTATATGTTCTAATTGCTCCACCACAACGCACAAAGACGATTCTACAAAGAAGGTTGGGGATATATGTTGGGTATGAATCTACTTCTATTAAAAAATATTTGGAAGCTATGACTGGAGATTACTTATCGCAAGATTTGTTGATTGCCATTTTGATGAATCAGTATACCCAACATTAAGGGGAGAAAATAAGCAGTTGGAAAAAGAGATAGATTGGAATGCATCATCACTATCTCATTTAGATTGTCGAACAAATCAATGTGAACACGAGGTTTAAAAGATAATTTATTTGCAAAATATTGCAAATCAACTGCCAGATGCATTCACTGACCTGGCAAGGGTGACTAAGTCACATATTTCAGATGCTAATGCTCCTATTCAAATTGATGTCCTGGTTGGACAATCTATAATTGCAAAAGAGTCTAAGTCACGCTTGAAACGTGGTAGACCAATTGGTTCCAAAGATAAAAATTCTCGAAAGCGAAAAGGAGCAAATAATCTAGGAGATCATAATATGGAGGCAATTGCTCAAAAAGATCCATGTGACATAACAAATGATAAGACCTCAGAGGGGGCCCAACTACCTGAAAATAATAAGAATAAAGAGATCTAAATAAATTAGGTCTCTGTAGGAAAAAGATGGAACCGTAACAATTTTATTGTCGACAACGTTTTTGCTTATTATGTTGTTGTGAGATAATGCAACAAGATGAGGATCTTGAACCAAGATCTATCGATGAATGTAGACTGAGAAATGATTGGCCAAAATAGAAAAACGCTATCCAGACAGAATTAGCTTTACTTGAAAAACGTGAAGTATTCGGACGTATAGTCCGAACAACTGAAGGAATAAAGCCAGTGGGATACAAATGGATTTTTGTGCGAAAACGAAATGATAAAAATGAAGTCGTTAGATATAAAGCACGATTTGTGGCACAAGGCTTTTCACAAAGACCTGGCATTGATTATATGGAGACATATTCTCTTCTGGTGGATGCAATCGCTTTCAGGTATCTTATAAATTTAGCAGTCCATGAAAAATCATATATGAAAATTCCTGAAGAGTTTAAAGTTCCTGAAATATATAAAAGCTTTTGGGAAACTTGTTCAATAAAGCTTCAAAAATCTTTATACGGACTGAAACAATCAGGGTGAATGTGGTATAATCGCCCGAGCGAATAGTTGCTAAAAGAAGGGTATAAGAATGATCCAATTTGTCCTTGTATTTTTATAAAAAGGTCTGGATCTGAAATTGTTATAATTGCAGTGTATGTTGATGATCTAAATATCATTGGAACTCCTGGGGAGCTTCCAAAAGCAGTAGACTGTCTGAAGAAAGAGTTTGAAATGAAAGATTTTGGAAAGATAAAATTTTGTCTTGGTCTACAAATTGGCAGACGAAAGGTGGAATTTTTGTCCGTCAATCAACTTATACCGAAAAGATCCTAAAGCGTTTTTATATGGATAAAGCACATCCATTGAGTACCTCGATGGTTGTGAGATCACTCGATATAAATAATGATCTATTTCGACCTCATGAAAATGATGAAGAGCTTCTTGGTAATGAAAGTCCATATCTTAGTGCAATTGGGGCACTAATGTATCTTGCAAATAATACTCGACCAGATATAACTTTTGCAGTAAGTTTATTAGTAAGATTTAGTTCCTTTCCAACAACAAGACATGAAATAGTGTTAAGCATATTTTCAGATATCTCCGAGAGACTTTTGATATGGGATTATTTTATTCTTATGAATCCGACTCACAAATGATTGGTTATGCAGATGCAGGTTATTTGTCTGACCCAAATAAGCCCGATCTCAAAGATGTTATCTATTTACTTGTGGAGGTACAGTTATATCATGGCGTTCAACAAAGCAAACTTTAGCTGCTACATCTTCCAATCATGCAGAAATTATAGCTATTCATGAAGCTAGTCGAGAATGTATATGGTTGAGATCACTGATTCAACACATTCAACAACAGTGTGGTCTTTCTTTAAAGATGAAGATTCCAACAATATTGTATGAAGATAATGATGCTTGCATAGCTCAACTAAAAGGAGGATATATCAAAGGAGATAAAACAAAGCACATTTTACCAAATTTCATTTTTATGCATGATCTTCAACAAAATGGTGAGATAGATGTTCAACAGATCCGTTCAAGTGATAATCTAACGGTC